TTTATGATTTCTCAACTTTTTATCAAATAAAGTGCTTCCTTCACTATCACAAATTGTCATCGCATTTTTAGTGACACAATTGTTTGGGTATTTTGTAAACGTTCAAAAATTACACAAAACAATACTTATTTTCATAAAAATGTACATGAAATTAATAAAAGAGGTAATATTGTTGAAAAGATTTCATTAATAATTGTGCTACAAAAAAGCACGTAATTTCTCGAATTAGTAACCGTTACGTAAAATTATAATACAGTCGGACAGACATATATCGAATCTTACGGTTTCTTTGTTAATATTTAGTATTTAGAAACTTTTATAAACAGAAATAATTATAAAATTTTTGCAAATGCTTATCTAACCACTTGCCTGAAACTCCTCAAATCTCAGGCGACGAGCATATTCCGTGACTTTTTACTTTCTTGCAACGGAGTAAAGAAAACGTTATGTAATGATGCGCGAAAAAACGGCCAATTTTCGGCAGAATGTATGTTACAAAATTAGTAATAAAAAGTACAAAATTTAGTACGTTTATTCAGCATTATTAATCAAAGAAAAGCTCGCATTTGTAACATTTGCATTTTCTGCTAACCTGAATACGATGAGTTGCGTTCGGACTCTCAAGGTTCCCACTTTTCTCACCTCTCCCCAAGCAATTTACCTAGCATCATTATTTACTCATTAAATCATTCGCCATCCTTGATGTAAGCGAAAGGACGAGTAGAAGAAGTTCCACAAACAAAGCACCATGAATTGAGAACCAACACAGTGCCGAGCTTGCTGTAACATGCAATGATACAGTGAGGCCAGTCGAAGGGCGCCCCCCGCACCACGAGCCGCCTGGGACATCTTCCCCCGACTCCGCTCCACTTCCCCTCCAAATGCAGACAGGGGAGCAGTGGCTTCAGACGAATGCACGTTTCTCACATCTGTTCCATCAAACGGGATTTGAGTTACGATTATACTCGATTCGACTATTTATTACGATTTCATGCGTATTTTCTTTTTAAATTCTACATTTTACAACATTTTTTGTCACTGGGCAGGAAAATGTTTCAATTCTTGGGGGAATTCTTTATTGTTTTTGTTTTGTGTTACGTTGAATAAAATCATCCATTGTTACATAGACCAATAATGTAAAATAAATTAACAAGTTAACATTAAATTAACAATTCTCGCTTACGACGGATAGTCCTTTGACAAGAATCTTCGTCAGTTAAACCTCCTAACTTGGACGTAGGTAGTTAATGCAATTATTGCATTATTAAGCAATCACGATTACGAAATCAAGATAATTTTATTCACAATGGTGAATTTGAACTCGTATTATTTCATTGTAGAGGATTATTTATTTCCTTTAGTAACTGAAATATAAATGAATGTTGCTAATATGGGGAAATAAGTGTCAACTGGCTTCTCCAAAAGGCAGATTTAGATTAGATTAGATTTATTAATAATTCTGCAATTAAGTGTGAGAACTTGGTGGCAGAATACACTAACTTAACATTACAGAACTTAACAACTATACAAACTCTACAAACGTTACAAATCTCATGAACATTTCACCGTTCACCTTTCATAAAACTCCACTTCACCAAACTTCACTTCACCACACTTCACCGCATTGCGATACAGCGAGCTGTAATGTCTTTCTTACTCACTCGTTTCTCTCAGTCGCACGTCACTGCACATAATAATAATAATAATAATAATAATAATAATAATAATAATAATAATAATAATAATAATAATAGATGATCAGGTATCCGCAACTCTGAAGAAATTTGTCACTCTATTCGAAAATCTCAAGGCAGTTGCTCTGGACGCAGTGCCCGCGAACTCAAGTGAGCTAGTTTCCTTTGCCGTGACCCTGATGTGTTGTTATAGACACAGTCGACACCGGTTGTAGTGAACCTCGGGGACTGTTGTTTTTGTTTCACTATATCAGAGGTTCACTATATCCGAGTATGTCAAAATTAAAAAGATTTTCTTCACAATCGACAATGACTAATCGGCATAAAGTGTCGTCAACAATTTTAAGTGTATCATAATTTACTCCGTTGGATTTGCATTCGATTATAAAAAGTAAGCGCGAGTAGATCAAATGCTCTTGTACTCGTACCGCGTTGTAAGAGTGTTTCTCACAGTCTTGTAATCAAGAAGGGGCGATCGGTCTAGGACTAGCTATCGCGTCATTTGAGCTTGTATATGTCGTTACCGAGAACTTCAATAATCCAAACCTTCTACATGAGAGTTTCTGTGCGAATTACGTGACGCTAAAGAGAGGGAGGAGATCTGAGGTAGAGTTACGCAGCGTTATACAGGGGTAGGGATTTTTTAGTTAAGTGTTACGCAACACTGACATTTACGTTCTTACATTTTTCAAAATTTGCTGAAACAATTCCTTTTTGGTCCTGTACTCAAACAAAATATTCACTAATTAACTTGTTTCAAAAACATAGATAAACCAAAGTTATTAGTTGTGAATTGTTACCATAAATGAAATATTTTTTCAACATTGTTTTTGAGTCCGTAAGATAACGAATAAATTGTTCAAAGCTGTTGTAATGTATATTCTAGAATCCATTTATATTGGTGCTGAAGACTCTCGCTCTTACATCATTCACGACGGCGTGTGCATGGCTAGTGATGTACCATTTCTCGCCCAAGCATTCCTCAACTCACAACTTGCCCCAATCTTATTGTTAGGGGCAGCCAGCATCGCCAACTAATTTCTACTTTAATTATCATTATGTACTTTAAAATACAACACAAGTGAAACAAATAAAGTTGTTTTTACTATGCTATAATTTATTTTCACTTACGTTTACAGGAGGGGGTGTTGTCGGAGGGTGCAAGCGCGCGTTACCAGCGGAGTGAGCTTCATTTTTTAATTTAATAAACCCTTAAGTATTAGTTTGTTCAAATATACTGTGTATGCCGTAGAATCGTTGACCTCTATAAAAAATAAATTGATATTTCCTTTTTTTCCTGTTCATGAATCTAATTCATTATATAGAAAGATAAGAATCAAATCAAGTAACAGGGGTAAAAAAGAAGAACTATTGTATGAGCCCTAGAGCTGAACAAAAGTGCAAGCGTATCGCCTAAATTATGTACATGTCACAATTTAAGTTTTTGTTCAGCCCGGTTACTTTCTCACGTTTCCCTTGCGGACAGACACGCAACTACAGAGTTACCTGACGCAAAGGCGGATCGAATAGAGGCTAATATGCGGAAGCGCTATGAAATAGTTTTATGAGAAGTGTGTCCAAGTTCCTTAAGCACTCATTCAATCACGCAGATTCTCCCCAGAGTACACCACACACAGTTTTTAACTGTTTTTGACGTTAAGTAAATAAATATTTAAATAAATAAATAAATACATTCTTACAAGTGCACTAAACACGTCACACGCCGTCAACCTTTTGTGGCAGCGGGTCAAAAATCAAAGAACGTTTGAGTAACAATTAAATATTTTGGTCCAGTGATATTTTCCTTTCAAAACAATGATTTAGAAAATAAACAAATACCTTTGATTGAGAAAGTAATTACAGTACGATTTTAAATGTTAAACACCAAAATAATAAAAAATAAAATAAAAATAATAATAATAATTATTTAAATACAATAATAATATAACAAAGAAAATATAATTGTCAAGTTATTTATTGGTTAACGCATTTTATTTATAAACGTAGTTTTCTTGATATCAATGGCTCACTTGAAATTATTATCAAATGGGTCAGTTAGTACACTATGGGACATAAGTTGAATTGGCTTACGTCTTACTTCGAGTGCTATAAGGCAATTGGAGCCTTAGTCTTCCAAACGCGTTTTGTAATGCAGTCTTTGTGGTAGTTTTGGTAGATCAAGTGATGGAAATCAGCCCTTCCCAGGCTTCATGGAGGGTGGAAACATTCAGGTCCCTTGTTTAAGACGGGATTACATCCCCCTTCCAAATCGCATTTTCTAAAGAAAAACTTAAATAATGACTCAAAAAATAAACACTTTTGATAAGAAAGGTAATTAACTATGACTATATAGTTCTAAATTCAAAGAATAAAGTGAAGCAACCGGTTCGTTTGATTGCCGTTTTCGGCCACGACAACTGCTGAAGGTCATTAGTCCCATTAGTGTAGTCAATGGTTTATCTCGGGGTGTGGAGGTGCACTGCTCCCTCTGGATGGTGAGATCCGGAGACAACCTAACGTTTAGGTTACCTATATTTTTTATTACATACTCAAAAAATACAAAACTCTTTTGTCAAAACATTGATTGGACTAAGGCTCTTGTTAACTAACTACTTAAACAAGTTTCAAAATAATTACCTTTAATTTCTCTTACAAATTTTAGAATAAAATTCTATAAAATTGACACATTAGGATTATATATTATTTTTAAATTACTTTTTACTATATTTTAAAAATCTTGTGATAGCAAATACGGTAGGAAACTTCATACGATCTAGAGGGATTTCCTTAATAATACAGTAGACTTATCTAAAGGTTTTGAGATCAGCACTACTTCGAATATGAATAAATTCTGTTAATTATCTTCCCTTTCAATTTTATGATTGGTAATTAATGTAAACGTTTACCACAGTCACAGAGACAACTAAAATGAATATGGATGGCAATGACAATAAATTCTGTTCGACTAGCGAAGCGATGTTTAAGGCATATTTACCGGGGACCTATTTTCTAGAAAACACAGTAATTTCCACGCTTCTTCATTTTGTTTTTAAATGGATATTTTAAATTTTTGATCTGATAACTGCCTCGGTTATTATGGTGTCTCGTTTGACCAAGACTCGGATAATTGAGATTGTCCTGCATGTGAAAATGCTCCCCGAGTCCTTCGGAGCAACGGAATTGTCTGCGATGCTTTGTGACTGAAGGAAGTAGAGAAGATGACGGCAATAAAGCTCTTCCTCAAATCCATCACAGGAAACCACATGACACGCAGCGCGACCTTCAGCGCTGTTGAATAATCGCGACATGACGGGGAAAAGGGTTGGAAAGAACCGGAAGGCAGTGGCGGTGCAGAGCTGCTTAGAATATGGATGTAGTGAGGGTTTGTGCTTGCGAAAGGGGTACAATTTTTTGGGTGGGGGGACAAGGATGCACATTTATTACATCTGTTTTACAATTAACATAATTAAGTTTAATCACATGTTTTTGTTTTACGAGAGTATTTAATTTGTTGTTTCTGAACCCTTTTGCCCCTTTTCATACCCCTTTTCGGAAAATCATTTTGTGTTGTTTTGTTCAGAAGCATAGTTGTTGCTTCAGGCCTCAAATGTTAGTACAATTAGTAAAATTAAAGTTTAATGAATGCTTATTTTATTGTACACAATGATAACGCTATAAAAATCTTACGTTCAATATTGGAAACGAACGAGTAAATCGAATGTTCTTAAGTTTGTATGCAATACAAAATTCGTTGAATAAAAATACACACGAGCCAGAAGAGACGTTAATAAACGATATCTTTTGTTAATTCATACGAATAGGAGGTCGTTGTAGTAAAGAAAAATATTTAAAATAGTTTAAAGGAAAAATTAAATGACCTGGCGTAATTGACATAACCCAATTAACTTTGTTAAAGTTTTAATACTATTTTCATTACACTATATAAATAAATACAATTTATTTCTTTAAATTCTCTTTTAAACTGATTATTTCAGAGCTGGCCACAAGTACATAATACACAAATACAAGTTAAAGTTCGCCCCTAAGCACATCACAAACATGTTATGTTATATAAAAATTAAATGAAGGCGAAAGAAATACATAACTGTCTTCTGTTTCTTGTACAAATTGAATACATTCTTTGCCAAACCTTAATTTTCCAGATATCACTCTTAACGTTTATTGTTTTGCTCCTTCTAGTAAATTTTTATGGTATGGGGAATAACCTTCTTTACGCTGGCTGCACACAAAGACAGAATTACCACAGTTTTTTTATACGCCAGTTGTACCAAAACAGTAAAATAATATAACTAGGACGCAAAGGACAGTTAAAAAATTCGTTTTTGCTAAAACTGGATATTTTATTTATTTACGTCAAAAACAGTCAAAACTGTATGATGTGCTATGGGGAGAAGTTAATGTGAAGTTACATTTATGTCCAGAAGCGATACAAGGGGCCATCTCAGCATTTTCTCGAAGATCAGGGAAACTCGATGAAAAACTGACCGGGATGGGGGTCATTGACATAGAAGATGAAGTACAATATTTGTTACAGGTTATTTACAATTATACAATCCAAATGGTATAAAATACATTAAATGTCATTGTTAAAATAAATATTAATTTCCTTTTGGATGCTCGGTATAGTCTTTAATTGTATACAAACAGTTGTGCAGCAAAGATTTTACTTGGGAGTTAAACTTTTGTATCGAATGTAATCTTATCTGGCACGGTGTTGTAAAATAAGGTACATGAATTATATGTGAATTTTTTGAAGTGAGCTGTTGATTCTGTCACCTGATGAATGTGATTACTACGTCGAGTGTTGTAGTTATAGACAGCGGCGTTTGCCAAAAATATATTCCCGTCCTTAAGTACATTATTTTTGACAAAAACCACTAATTCATATACGAAGAGGCAATGGTAAAATACCTATATGAATAAAGAGAGGCTTACAATAATCACGTGGGTGGGATTAACTTATTATTCGTGCAATTGGTTTTTGTAATCAAAAAGTCTGGGAACTATAAGATGTATTTCCCCAGAATATTATGACATATTTCAGGCGGGAATGAACATTCGCGAAATATACACAACGAGCAGTGTGTATTTGACTGAACTTGAAAGAATTCTGAAAGCGTAGCATAAAGAACTTAATTTAGTGTTCAATTCATTTACCGGGACGTTCCAATTAAGGTTTGACTGAATTGAAATACCTAAATTTTTTTTATCTTAACATCACTCAAAGACACACCGTTCATTTTCAGTGAAGTGCAGAGCTGTTTATTTGAAACGGAAAACAGCATTGAACAATTTTCTTTTCATCATTTCATTCATTTCACTTCATTCATTTTAACATACTTGTTCTAATTTCATTGCCCTTCCAAGAGATATTGCGAACATTGTTGAAAAGACATTAATAACTACGTTAGAAGCAATCAAAGCAAAATCATGTTAACTTTTTCATCCAGAGAACAACGTGATTTTCAAATTTCTCTTCTATTCAATTAGGTAAATGTGCCTTGTACCTCGGGGATGCACTGTAGGCTAGAAGAAACTGGATCTGGCATCTGCATTTTGTTAAAGTTGTCCACCCCTTCCTTCCGTAACATTGTCAGCCCTGCGTGGCCGGGGAGCCATACGGAACGAGAAGACACAACCCATCATTTGCTACATTTTTAAATGGGAGTGAAAACGGGATGAGGAAAGAAGAGATGCTTGCTGAGTGTGGCCAATTTCTCAAGGTACTACTCCGACATCTGCCAGGAACAGGTCGAATTAAACCTAAGGCAGGTTGTTCCGAGAATTATCAGCTATTTTCCAGATAACTAGTTACTGTCGAAAATGCACCACGGACAAATTCCTGCCTACCGAGCTACTGTTGGACACTTATGCACTTGAGTTCTGAACGGTTTAGTCAACGTCATGACCTCAGTCAGATTTAGTCTTGTTGCACATTATTTTGCCGATCAGAAGCAGTATTGTACTGCGGAGACGCAGATCAGACAGGCTGCCAATCAACATGTCGAAATCGACATATCGTATGCAATCGAAACTTGCATACGCAGCATCGAGATATGCCATAGCAGTCGCACGGCGTGCAGCCGAATGGCTGTTTGTCACCCGACGGGTCACGGGGGGCAGCGGCCAGGTCAGATTCGTCGGCTTTGCTTCTCTTAGAACAGCGCCCGTCGGACTGCGGCGACGTTTTGGGAGCCAATAGCCTCATTTTCATGGCCGAAGCAACCGGCTGGAGCCAAGGATATTCAGGACAAGGCGGAGCGGGATAAGTTAGAAGGCAATGCTCATCAGATGAAGCACGGGGAGCAAATAGCACCTTTTCCGACGATCAAGTCAGGAAAGAGTCGGGAACTGTGAATGGTCGCCCATCAGAAGATACATTTTTCAATTGTCAAACACTCTGAAATAAACTAAGGAAGGAGAATGCCGGACACTGCACTCAGACGATCTTAGAGACACAATCGAAATATTAAAAGGGTTAGATATCGGGAAATAGAGATAGAGAGAGACTAATAAAACAGAATCAAGTGAGGAAAAAGAGAATAATCTTATTCGTAGTTCCAATTAGAACAGCGCAGTTTGATTTAAAAACCAAGTTTTTTGCTTAAAACGCTTTGGAGAGGATCGAGAATGATCTTTGTTAATAGCGCACGTCTAAGGCAGGAGCTTCTTCATGAAATCCAACACGCGTAGCGAAGCGTCAACTCGCCCCAAAAGCTTGAGGTTAAAATACGATGCCATCCCGCTCGGGAGCGCGTATTGTCGGTTGCCGAGTTTCCACGGAACTAAGTCGATTGCTTAGTTCGTTACAATAAGAGAGAACAGCCGTCTATTGAATTCTATGATTCTAAATAACAGGTAGAATATGATTATCCCGGCTTCAGTAAAAAGTTGCAACACCAACCGGAATAACAACGCATCTCGAGAACAGTATTTTTTGTCCGGTAGACTATGCACTCTTGCGTATTCTCCGACTTTTCCTCGTAGTTAGCGCGAAACGGAACGATTTTCCTTACGCAGCCGGACTAGAATGTCAACCTCGCTATAGTTCAGAACCTTCCTCTAGTTCAGAGAACGACAGGGAAAAGGAGGTAGAGATAGGAGATTCATGTCCTTCCACATTTCCCTTTCTTGACAAGAAAATTAATGGGTGATCACCGCAGCGCAATTGAAAATCATTAACGCTCAGCGCCCTCATGTGAGGGTGCACATATCTGGCCAACTCAGATTTGCTTCTTTTGCAATAATTTGCGAATTTTATTTCTTCAATAGTCGTAGAAGTCCTAAACGAAACATATAAGCAAGTGTTGTCGATTTAGCCGACATTGCAAACGCATTGCAAACGCCTGGCCAGGATGTATTCACGACTTGCGTCGGTTCGAATCTTCATCTAAAACTGTGCTTAGCTGCTGAATGCCTGTGCTCAAGTCAGGGGGGAGAGGCCAACAGTACTTGGTCTGCACTAAAGAAGCGAAGCAGACATACACAGCTATGTTCTCACGGCTTTGCTACTTTTTATAGAAACAATTCTCTTACAAGAAACTGGTGGTTCTTTGAGAAACTCTACTAGTTCTATTAAGCAACGCAAAAAAGGATTAGCACAACAAGTTGCAAAAATATGCTATCCGAGAACTCCAGCAATGGCTCTGCCCTGACGCGACGACAATGGGCGAGCGCTAGGGGCCCAAAATTAATTTGTCTGTGAATGGGCTAAAATGCCCAGAGGTGAAGGGCGCTACGCTGATAAGACGTTAACTCATTGAAGAACCAAGAGAATAGAGAGAAGAGCATGTAAACGTACAATCTAGGGCAATAGGAAGACCCTCGAAAGTGAGTTATTAGAAACCTGGAGGGTTTATAGCCACCGTCAAACGTTGTGCCTTAAACAGGGCGTATGTCAATTATCCAACTTCAAAATGTATCTACAGCTATAGTATCCCTTACCGGGTGAGAGGGTTTGTATTATTAGGAATATTCTACAAAGTTATACAAAGCGAATTTATTTTCCTCAAAAAACATCGGACTTGTTACTTTGATCGACTTTCCACATATCATTTTATGCACTTTAGGAAATAATTAATTGTTTAATCAAATGTGAGAAACATTTAGAAATTTTCCTAAAACTCTGAACAAATTGTAAATTGTGCATTGTATATAAAAATCTGTAATGTAATGAATTGCAAACAAAAAGGGAAAAAAACATTTCGAAACTTAAAGGTGACCACTCTATCCCTCCATAGAAATAACTTAAAATATTTCAAAATTATGTATATAAAATTGGCCGAAGCAGTTAAAAATGTCGAAAAAGGTGCGAAACTATTCCGGAAATGTGCCAAGTCGGAGCCGATCCATCGTACAACCACCCCAAAACACATCTCAAAAATACACTGAAAATGTATGTAAATAGAAATTTTGATGAACAATGGGGCTCAAATGTTAAAAGTTCTTTCTTGTTAAGGCTGTGCGCGCCCATGTGTCCAAAGTTAAGACAACAACCGAACAAATAATTGACTTAAGTTGTTTTCCTTTACTGCTGGAAAACACCCAAAATGTTAACTAATTGAAACATGATAAATATAAATTTCACTAGTTCATGTTAAATTTTAATAAAGACGTTGATGTTAAATGAAGGCGTCGCTTTAAGGGGTGCCAAATTATGAATTTCTTTAATCAAAATGAAAAATTCCCCGTACGATAGAAATAAAAATTATTGTGAAAATAAAACTGTGATTGTAATCTTTAAAAAATATGAAAATAATAAATACACTCCTAGAAACACAAATATATGTAATTTAATTTTTTTAAAATTTTTGAGTGGCAATATTTAGAAAGGAGTGTCGCAGTTTCGAATACCGCCTATGATGGATGTTTGCTTTTGTGAAGTGACCAAACCTCCCCCCGCCCTCATTAAAAGCAGATAGGACAACGATAGTGGTTGATGGTCTGCCTGCGGAGGAAAGCGCTGACAACAGACCACGGACCATGACGCGCGCGTCACCCGTCCTCTTTCACTCTAAGCAGCTCTTAGTCGCTAGGGCACCGGTGGCCACAGACGATGTTATAGGCACTTAGCGCTAATGGGTATACACATTGACTAATTGGCACTGGCCTTATGGCTCTATGGATATTTCGTATTTGCGGGTGGCTGCTATCGTCATTAGATAGCGGTAATCTTTCCCCGCTTGATGGTGAGATCCTACACGTATATATGCGGCGTGTTGTCTATCCAGGCATCTCCCACCAACGGGCTAACACGACCCAACAGGGACCAGATCTAAGCTTTCGACTAGTCTTCCGGCATTTGTACTAGTGTAGTGCATGTAAGTGTGTGTGTGTACGGGAAAGGTCATAATTGGAGATGGAAGATGTAGGAAACATCGCGCGTGGCCCGTGGCCCGGTTTATCGGGTGCTGCTCCAGAATGCGTCTCGTGTTGATCGGAGAAGCCACCGTTCAGAGCAGTCGACCGCCGGAATAGAGCTCCAGACAGGTCTTTGGTTAAAAGTCTGTGGACCTTTGTGATAAAGATCCTGGGTTCCATTAAGCATTTAAGATTTAAGACATTGATATGCGAAATAGCCTGATTTGCGCTTCAGCTTATGTGTTTGTGGCGTGTGCGCAGGCTAGGAGAGGCTATGGGCCCCGCGGAAGAGTGCGACGACGCGCCGCCAGAGGCGCTGGAGGAAGGCGAGCTGCGCGGCCCCATGGACGGCTACCCTCGCGTCAGCGACTGCCTCGCGCGCCCCCTGGCGCAGCGCCTCATGCAAGGACTGCAGGCGCGCGGCGGCGACGTCATCCAGGTAACGACCACCAAGCACCTTCGCAAGGACTAAGTCATTCAAGTAACAACACACAAGCACAGTGGGAAATTGCTTATTTTCAGGTACCACTGCATACAGTGGGTTCCTCTGAGGGAACTGCTTTCCTTCAGAAATGACGACACACAGCAGATTCCTCTGCGGGAACTTCTTATTTTCCATCATCACCACACTTTCGCAGTCGACTCCTCTGGAAGAACGACTTTTTTCAAATATCTACAATCACATTTTAAACAATCATAATTTTAAACTATCTGTAACAAATATCGTACCTCAACTTCTGGGTCAATGACCCCCATCTCGGTCAGGTTTTTTGTCCAGTTTCCCTGATTCTTTGAGTGAATGAGATGGCCCCTTACTTTCCTTCTGAACATTAATGAAACTTCACTATCTGCGTACCTTTTTTAGAGTTCTGTGGATAATAGTTATTCAAAGTATCGTTCTCAATTTTCTCACGGCAGGGAGTCCACAAGTTCACGAAGAGGGATAGTAGCCAAACTATGTAGCTGATTTGCCTTTGCAAATAGTTTTTATTATAATGGAGCGATGTTTTCTTATTAATTCTTGTCAAAAATGCTCATTTCACGTGTATTCAGAATAAATAAACTTATAATCCCAGAATTCAGAAAACGTGCACAGAATACACTTCTACCCATAGCATGTCATACATAGTTTTTAACTGTTTTTGGCGTTAAATACATAAATAAATAACTAGGCAAGAAAGTACGCGTGTTATGATGTTTTAAGTCTGTCACGTTCGTACTCTAGCATTGATATAAGATGTAAGAACTTCGGTCACCACATTAATAAATTTCAAACGTTAACTGGAAGAGACATTATTTCTCTGTAGTAGAATAAACCGTGACTCTGCCATTAGTGTCGTAATACAAGCATTAAAATATTACGGCATGGTCTCGCCTAAGAAACTTGGATCTGCCAGAACTGCAACGACCGAATGGACGTTTGCACTTGAACATTTCCGCCGTCGCGTGATTGGCTGCCAGCCCGCCCCGCCCACCCGGACGAGCCCCGCGCCTTATCGGCGCCGGACCCCGCGCAGCTGTTTCGGACTACACTGAGTTCATCCATTCGGGATCTTGGCGCTCTCATTGCCTCAAGATTAAACTGGCACAGCCGCATCATATCAAAGTTCAAGAAGCCATTAAGGGATTAGCCATATTAGAATGAATTCCTTATCATAAGTGTCTTTAAAAATATATTCTTACATAATAACTCGCAAATCTATATTACTCAAGATAATTACTAAATCATATCCTGTCTGGATTTCAGACGTCTACGAAAACTGAAAAAAATCTTTCGAAATAAAATCTTATGAGTGACTAAATATTCTCTGATTGGGCGTTGCACGATTTGACAATTAAACCATTTAGTTTGTTTCTCACAGCACTGGCCCTTAATTTCTAAAATAATTTACTTAATTTTCAAGAAGGTACATGAAACAAACTTTACTCACATATTTCTCTCGCCTTAAAAGCAAACACCGTTTTCAGAATTTTCTTCGCCAATAAATAAGGACTAAATATTTGACATTTAACTTTTTCCTTATTTATTTTCGATGCCATGATAAATATCTCAGAAAATAACTGGCAAAGAAATGAACACAATACGTTATGTACAATATAATCCATATAATCAGACAGTGATGTGAAAAAGCAACTGACTCACATAACTTCCTTGCCTTAAAAAGATACCCTTTTCAGTAATGTTAGTGCATTGGAAAATAACTAAATATTTATGACATTTACTTTTCGCTAATTTTTTCTGATGATGTGCATAGGCCACTTGCAGAAAGTTATTGGCATAGACACCAGCACAAAATGTTATGTGCAATTTCATTAGAGTGAAGCGAAGCAGAAACTGAATCACATCACTCCCTCGCTTTGAAACCAGACTCTGTTCATCGTTTTCTTGGGTATCTTTTTTAAGTTGTTTTTTTAACAATACAGCAACCACTTGTGATTTCTTTAACTGTAGAGGGATCTGTAGGAAGGACACGTAAGGACAACACGAACATGACATCTGGGGATTAACAATTTAGGGCCATTATATCAAAGATTTACTGAATCCGATAATGCGAAAATAAATTAGTTGTTCCTCGATGATTAACTTTGTTATAACAGAGGTTCAGTAATATCTCTAACCACTGTGAATTCGAAATTTCAATATATTCATTAAATCATTAAAATAAATGTTAGTATATTATACGTCGTGTACAATCTTTTATGAATTCTCCTTGTAGACTTTCTCCACAGTCGGTTTCCCGATTCTTTCGTCCACACATAAAATATTTTAGATCAGTTTCGATTCTCTGAATTGACTCTTATGCTGTTGGAACACTTAGTTTATTTCTGTCCTGTTTGCCATCAGACTGTTTTTTCTTGTGTGCTCGACCCTTGCACAGCATTAACGACGTCCTACAGAGACGGCATTTCACTAGTTTTCATCTCTCAAGATATATCGATAAAGTCTTCAAGTCTTCACGCGACAGAATTCCTGAAACAATTTTCTCAGGGTTGCGTCACCTCAGTACCTTCTATTCGTCGAAAGAAAAACTAAAAAAAAAAAAAAATATTCACGAGACCTTCCCCACACAAACTCTAAGTGTTTTAGATATTCGCAGTCCGAAGCGAAGTGATGATATAAATGGAAGTTGTATTTCCTGAATTGTGTATAACTAATGTGGGGAGAACACTCAATTCACTTCAATGATACCGTATTTTGCGTGGCGAGACTCAGGCCACCAGGCGTGATCTTCCGACTGCCCTCGCGAATTTCGCTATGCAGCGGAGAAAGGTATCACTCGGCAATGAAAGACGCGATTGGAATTTAGGTCTTGAGGATCTTTTACGTGCAGTAAATCTACACCATGTGACAGCCGGTTTTACTTCCTCTCTGAAGGAAAGTGCACGATGGATATTTTCACCCTTAAAGCACTACACTCGCACCACCTAGTGATTGTTTGTGATGAATGTGGATCTGGAGCAGTGCGTTGGCCCTCTACAACCGAAAGTTCTCCTCACCCAGGCCCGACATTGTGATCGTTCCGTGCTGTGACGCGCTGGTCGTGGATGCCCTTGCGGCCGCGTGTGTTGTGGTGCGGGAGGCCGTGACCCAGTGATCCTGACTGAAGCGACCTTGAGGCCGCGCTCGCTTGGCGGTCCACTGGCGCGGGTCGAGCGAGTCACGCGGCGCCGATTCACCATCATGTTAGGCAAATAACAAGCAAATAGAATGCACATAACTACGTTTCTGCGACCGCTTCCTGGCGCGTACTGGAGCAGATTCCCACAAAGTGGGGCACGGCCCGCGTGCGATCCTTTGTTTCCTTCCTGCTCCCATTCCCATCCTTAGGGCTGAGTGATGAAATGATCACTCCTGCGACGGCCCATCTCACCCATCTTATGAAACCGCCGACAAGAGTCGTAGGCGGTCGTGGCCGGCTGCGGGTTGTAGAAGAATAACATTCATGATACGTCCTGATTGACGTAGCGCTATATTTTTGACGAATCTCAAGTACCTACCTCGTTCCCAAAATAACTATTAAAGTTTACAAGTAATAATAAACATGTTAAATTGGAAACACAAATTAAATTTCATGTAGTTAAATGTCTTAAAGTTGATTGCACTACTGTCACTGAAGAGCGAGAATAATTTAATCGAGTCTTAATTATAGTATTAAAAAAATTAAAACCGATAATGTTCTAATGTATATTTTATGAATATAATTTTTTGTAGAAAGATTTCGGCAATTCAACTCAATATTTTCTAGAGTAACAGAAAAATCATTTTTACCACAGTAATTTGAATTTTTCGGATTAACTCAGAGAGACCAAGGGTGATGGGTCTGAAAAGGAGGAGGAAATCCTTCATTCCAGAACATTATCGATTTCGGATAAAAGGGGAACGCTGTCCCTAGCATAAACTATATCAACCAATAAGTGTGTGTGTGTAACAGACCACCATGCCTTTTCTTCTTTTAGCGGTGAACAGTGACGAGGGATGATTTGGGTAATGTCAAGAATCGTGGAAAGGGAGGGTGAGATAGATGAGTTTCAAATAATTTTCAAAGAAATTGTACATACCTTTACATGAACTCGGGCGCTGTATGATAAATATTTTCCAGCCATGCAAACTTTAATGTTGGAGACTATAAAGCAAGTTTTAAACACATTGATGGTTTCTGAACGTTGTATTAATTTTCGACATGTTTTATTGGCGACGTTGCATCCAAAGGCAGGGCGACGTTGTCCCCGCATCCACAGCTCACAACACCTGGTTGTTGAAAAGTGCAGGGACGTGTGGCAGATGCATCAAAGTACGCTTTTCAACAAGGCTGTGGGTTTGAATTCCGGGTAAAGCATGGCAGATTTCATCTCGTGCTCGTTGCATGGTACTCGTCTCCTGAGCCCGTGTATCCCATCCTTAGCAACCACTCACCCATAATACTTCTCCCTATCCAGGGTATATTAGCTCAGATAGCCTTGCGGTGTTTCTCAGCTTATAATGAAATACACGATTGACAGAAATTACTCTCCTAGTTACCACAGGAAGCCAGGGGAGGGTTACAAAGTACTAACTGAGGCATAGCAGAATTGGCCTGAAATTTGTGTTGGACAACTTAATAGTGAGTCCGAAAAATTTAACTTCAGTCATTACCTGATATTCCATTTTAAATACAATTCGGTCACATCAGTCACGTGAGGTAACGCGCATTAATGGATGATACACGAAGGCCACTGTCGAATGCTAAGGATGTGCAGGTTCTAATTTTCTGAAGTCAAAGCGGAAAACGGAAAACGAAAAATCCGCTTAAATCCCTTGTTTTAATTCTCGTGGATGAATCTACCTTTAGAAGAGGAAAGGGAGTCTTCTAATGTTTGTTTTACACGGTGGTAATTTCTGTACATTTTTATAAAACGTTTCTGGAAACGTACATTTTATAAAATATAGCTTTCTCGGGGTAATATTTGGAGTTTTATAAAAAATACAAAACCATTCATGTTCTATTTCCATCTAACAATTTTACTAAGAGCAACAAACAATGCAATTTCCGAAACGCAATCAACTGGTGCTCCAGCCCATGTGGCTGTCGGAAAAATATTTTTTTTCGCGGGGAAATGTGGTCTTCGGCGGAGCTCAGAACCTCTCTAAACGTCAGGAGGTGCACTGAAACGGCAGTGCGTGTTACAGTGCGAGGCCCTCGTTGCAGGCGCGGTCGCCTAGTGCTCTGGGCGTTCCTCCTCGCCGCGTGCCGCTCGCCGAGAGCCGCGTGCCGAAGCGTGCGCCCTGCACGCGCGTGCCTCTGCATGCTCTTCGCGCTGCACCACTTCCGGCGTGACGCACGCCAACGCACGCAATGCATACTTTCTACAAAAACTTGGTGTTTTCAACTTCGATACTTACATTAAAGCCGACTAGCGTACTCGTACGAGAACTCTCCCATTCACTCCAGCATCGGAACTTTATGCAATATCATTTAACTTTATTGTCAATCAGAGAAGAACACCCGTGCAATTCAGTCGCATAGAATATGAAATAATTAGTTAAATATTACATACGGTTGCAAGTTCTGTACGTTTCTGAACAGATAGGGTACAGTAGTTGTATAGGTAGTATTGAGTACTATCGATAAGAACCGCACCTGCAAAAATGTAACAGAATGTCTAAAAATATCTTGTATTGTAGCTTTTTATGCAAGAAACGTTTCTTTAAGGCCTCTGGCTTCCAAATTATAGATTTAAGGTCATAGAATGCTTTGTTTAAGAGTTAGTTAATTATATAGAGTTTAACAATGACGCCGAGTGTTGCGAGTTGTATTTGACACAAATATTTGGATGCTTTTTTTTCTTTCGACAAATCCTTCATATTCTTGACGTCAAAGTGCAATTAGTCGTCTTCATGAATTTTTATTTCCTTAGAGACCTCATTGATACAGACTTGGTTGCTTCTGAGAGCAGAAAAAGATATCTATACTATTGAAATAATATAGAAGACGATGGGTTTTAATATCGATGTTTTGTGCTCGATCTTTTCACGTTTTTTACATATGTTAATGAATTATACTCACAATTGTACGTGTTCAAACCAAATGAACGTGGGTTGTAGCCATAGAATAGCTTCTATCAGTTATTAAAATACTTCAATTCTCTGTGGATGTAAACACGAGTTTAAAACTTAATCGTGAAAGCTTCAGTCATACAACTCGCTGTCAAATAAATTCTTTCAGATAACCTTACTTTAATTGTAAGAAATAATCTTCGAGTTATTTCTTTATGTAAATGTGTTGAGTTTTATTCTGTATTGGCCTGTTTGGGGTTCTATTACAGAACGTCTCATTCGTAATAATTACATTACCTGCATGTGTTACCATCAACTGTAACTAGTTCTGTGTGTTTGTCTCTCTCAATGCTATTCCAGGCATGCACAGCACGTCTGAACGTGTAGACGCGCATTCTCTGAGCGACAACGCGTTACGCAAAGCAGTTGTACGGCGTTGCCTCTTCTGCCGCACTTGAATTTTCTCGCCTTCATAAAACTTCTACTCTTGTTGGGTTAACAGTCGTATGAAGAATATTTTTATCACATTTGCGGATGTGCGCGGATGTTTTCAGTTTCGTCGGACGGTAAGCGCCGAAGTACGCTTTAGTTTAATACAATGGGGATTTCACTCGCCCCAGAGCGGGTTACTGCTTGCAGCCGAACCTCACCCCCATCGCTCTGCACCAAGACACCGTCCCGTCGGCATCCTGATACGCGGGAACGCCACGTTCACTGCCACATTGAGTAAAAGTGAACCCGTACAGGTGTAAATACACCTTTGGGCAAAGATATAAAACGTGTAAAAGAGTAGAAAAGTGCGCAAACGAGCACGCGCGTGGGAATGAGTAGACTACGTGCCTTCGCAGCTGAATTCGTTCAGGACAAGAGTACGTGAATGTGAGCCGGTGTTCCAACACGGGTAAAAGTGGTCTCGTGGCTGTGCGTAGGTGTACCCGCGCGAGGGCGTGAGCTGGACGGCGCGACAGGTGCTGCAACGGGGCCTGCAGCTGGCGGCCGGGATGCAGATGCTGGGCGTGAAACCCGGGGACCGCGTCACCATGGTGTGCGGCCGCCACCCGGAGTACGGACCGCTCTACTTCGCCACGTTGGCGGTGGGTGCTGCCTGGGCGCCGCTCAACCACACCTTCGACGACGGTAATCAGCTTCAATTTTCCTTCGGCCGATATAATTCATTTCTGACTGATACAAATAATTCCATTTCCTCACTAATAGACGAGCTCTCTGGCTTCGACAGTAATCCGATCGTGCAAGGAAGGTCGATTGTGGGACAGTGGTGCTGGCGAAGGGGGAAGAAATGATTCAATTGTATTAAGGTTGTTTTTGGCGCAATGGCACTGGCAGAGCAAGAGGATATGAAGGTCATTTGTGGCGAAGTAGTGCTGGAGGGAAAGGAAGAAGTAGTGCTGGAGGTAATTCAATTGTATAAAGAAGATATTTGCAGGGTCCTGGCGAGAGGAGCATTGTAATTCAATTGTATTAAGGTCGTTCGTAGTGCAGTTGTGCTACTGGAACATAGTAATTAATTGTACTAAGACCGTTTCTGGCGCAGTGGTGCTGGCGGGGATAATTAGGAAAAGAAGATCGTTTGTGGTGCTGTGACGGTGGAAGGTGATGGGGTAATTGAATTATGAAGGTTGTGTTTGGCGCAATGGTGCTGTCGGAGCCGGGGGATAGAAATCAACTGTCGTAAAGAAATCCGTCTGCGACTGTCGCAGTGTTGTTGGGGGAGGGATAAGATAGTAAATTCAATTGTTTTAAGATATTTTTGGCTCAGTTGTGCTGACGAAATGGTGGAGTCGTAATTAAGATGCATTAAGAATGTTGCTTGTGGCTTAGTGGTGATGGAGGAGGGAGAGGATAGTACTGTAATTCAATTTTATTAAGATTGTTTTTGTCACAGTAGTGCTGGCGAAGCAATGGGGATAGTAATCAAATTGTATTAAGAAGGACGTACAAATCGCACTGCACAAATAAGATTGTTTGTGGCGCAGTAGTAGTGACGGAGAGGGAGGATTATAACGTATTAAGAAGGTTGTTTTGGCGCATTCAGTTTGCGATGTGTGTGTGCATGTGTGTATTTGCGTCATTGTGTTCTCTTAGATTTACAGACCTAGCCATCACGCGGCTAGCGGCTAGACCTGCAGCCTTCCGAATCAGTCACCGGGCTGCACCGGAAAATCGCTGTTTTCTGGGCTGGCGACATACCAGTTCTGAGCGATATTTTGTTTGCAACCTGTCTGTGTTACCACCACTTGGGACAGACTAGAAGCAGTCGCATTGCTGTTTCTTCTCTACATTTACACATTAGTGGAGTGTCTACTAATTTTAGTTTGTGTCACGCATGCGGGGGTGCAGTTCTCTACGTTCCTCTCAGACCCAGGAGCGTGGATAGTTGTGTTTTTTAAGGTTAGATTATTTTCTAATATCAATTCATTCAACCACACAGAGATGCAGACTAATAATAGGCATAAATTCGCCATTAAATATATTATTAATGATTATCAGCTATTCGTCTGCTTCATGAAGATGTTTCTTGCCTTCATACATACTTTTTTACGAGGCTATTGGATCACAGGTCGAGATCCACTCCCAGGGAAGTTGGCGCGAAACTGCATTTGTGCATTAACAATGCCATGTGGTTTATGTTTGCAGGGAAGGTTCATATTTTTAAATCTCTTGATATGGTGTGTCATAACCATGATTTTATATTTTTCCGTTAAACACTTTGGTTTGATTCTCAGCACCAGACTGCTTCTTTTTCAAATACTTTTCCGGATTTCTCTTCTATATCAGCTCTGGATGCTCCGTGGATGACTATTGCTAGATCATCTACGAAGGCTACGGTACCAACAGCACTTCTTCGTAATTTACGTAACAGGTTAACTAGAATGGTATTCCAAAAGACGCCCTGAGCGGGTGAACCTCCGGCTGCTGCTGCGCATCCTGGAGCCGCGCGTGGTGCTGGCGGAGCGGGTGGATGGAAGGATAGTTTGTGTGCTTGGCAGGCGACCTGCGGCTGCTGCTGGGCATCCTGGAGCCGCGCGTGGTGCTGGCGGAGCGGGAGGTGGCCGACCGCCTTCGCCCGCTGCTGGCCGAGCTGCAGAGCCCCAGCACCTTGGCCGTGCTGTGCGAGGGCGAGGAGTGGGCGGCGCTGGCCACCGACGCCGCTCCCGACACCTGGCCGCCGCTGCCGCCGCCTCCCGCAGACCCGCGCGGCGCCATCGCCGTGGTCGCCTGCTCCTCCGGGACGTCGGGGCTGCCCAAGGCCTGCGCCACCTCGCACTTCGCCATCATCGCCGCGCTCTCCGTCTTCTCGTGAGTCGCTGATCTATGCCCTTGCCCAAACACTGTGACGTCAACTTCTCAGGGGGCCGTCGTGTGAAAGAAATTTGAAGTCGCTGATCAAGAATTCTTCGGGAAGGAGTCTTAAAAGTTCTTTCGATGGGTGGGGGTAGCTCGTGTTCGTGTCTCTGGCACTCATTCGGTCTATCGGCAATCCTGACGCGGGCGCTAATTATCTGCACTCACTGGCCCTCTCGTAAAGCCCTTCAATTCCGCAGTTCTGGCACACATGTGAATATCTATGCCTCTGAACTCCCTGGATGTTGTGACTGTAGATCACGAGGATCAGGGGAGAGCTACACTTATATTTATTATATTCGGAGAGGGTACCTGGGAGTAAATAACTCTGTTATTGTGCGTATTGTGAGTAACGCAGGGGAGTTGTCGTGAGGAAACAGCTGACCGTATCGGAAGAACGAGCCCCTGTCGTTTTGTTAATATTGTTTTCAACGACATAAATCGGTATACCGTCTTAATTTAACCATGAAATTCTTTACTATTAGAAGCGCTATTTACCTGCCTCCCTCATAATGTCTCCTTCTCACGGGGCACTCGACGTGGACACCGATAAGCGCCGGGTCACTTCAAATTCAGCCATCGTTGTTGCCACTGCGCGTGAGAAGGAAAGATTCGTCCCACCGCTGTGAGCGCTGGCGGTCTCGAGGCAGTCAACACGAAGACGGATGATCTGAGGTGCTTCCACGTTGAATGCTGTGAACCGAGTTCTGATGAAGGTGACGCGAAAAAGCGACTGCGCGTCTGGTGGCGGGTGTGTGCTAATAACAACCAGAGAAGCGTAACTGTGCCACTCCTCTGAATATCGTCATGAAACCAAGTCTTTACGATCAGACGGGCCACTAGAAAGCGCTGTGAAGGGGTTCCGTGTGACGGGACCCTATGGCTGTTGCAGGCGGCATGACGCCGTGGAGGGCATCATAGACACCATGGTGCTGACGTCACCTGGCTTCTGGGTGACCGGCATCTGGTTCACGCTGCTCAGTATGCTGGACCGCTCAACGCTAGTGTACGTGTTTGGATGCGACGAGCATCAGTTCCTCCACGCAATCGAGAAACATAAGGTGAGCTCCAAATCAAACCACTAGTCTTAACACTTTATACTCATCGCTATTAGGCATATGCCTGCTCTACTCCTCTGGGAAAGACCTTCGCTGTTGAGGATGAACTCATTTCATTGATATTACGACTTGAAGCAACCACGTTTGTTGTAATTAAAATTTCCTCAATCATAAACTGAAAACAAATTTTCCTTTAAACTTAAAAAAGACTTGTTAATTAAAATGTGGAGGGTAACTCAAAAGTTTCTTCTCAAAACTTTCTAAAAGCTCCTTTGTTTTTATAGTTGTGCTCTTTGCTTCTTGTCATGGTTTAGGTCCATCTCACGAACATACAAAGGAGCTGGAGCTACGCAGAATTGAATTCCTGCCCACTGTACTCTTTTGCAATAGTTGTGTTTGAACAGCATCTAAGCCTGGTGCCAGGTGTTTGATATTGCTTACACAAACTACAGACAAAACCACTATCGGGATAGTTAAGAACCTCAGAGTTTTCGTCTTTATTTGATGACGAAATTTTGATTTTACGACTTTTTAAACCATTCTGTAATTAGCTTTGATAGGTACATCCAATATTCATACTTGCTTCTTTTCAACATCTGCAAAGGTATTGTTTATTATGACCCAACTTGTATTTATTATGGTCATCCATTTTAATTTGGTTATATTTTTGGGTAATCTTGTGTAGCTAGGACAACACATTTGCAAGCCATATTTCTTGCACAGATTCCAGAATACAAGAACTTTGTCTACTCTAAGTTGGAGTGTCGTTTTAAATCGGTCGATCTACGCAATCTTTCTAGAGTCTGTACAGTCAACTGTTTCTTTACTTTGCACAGTCTGCACTATCTCTTTTGCCTTGGTCTTAGTCCTTAGATCTGTTTCGGGGCTGCTAGGACCGGACCTATGGTCTGTTTTTAAATCTGTAAACTTACGAGTCTAGCTCCATTTTACTTTTAACGTACAACTTGAGCTCATCAATAGAGAGGGAATGGGAAAATATAGCACTCGTTATCAATCTTTTAAACGCGAGTTGTTTCTTTAATTGATTTGTTGAGAGAGATCGAGCTGCAATGAACATCAGCAGAGAGCTATGAAATATCTGTCAAATATCTCTCTCTATTCTGACATCCCCGAGAGAAAATTCCTTGGCTATATTGTGCGAATTCCAGCGATAAGTAAATTATTTCAAACACTTCGTGTTTGACGAAACCTTTAAAACTTCTAAACTCTTTATTACGCAACTCTGTGGCAGATAATCGTGTATCTTTTTGTTGTCGATGTAGGAGTCGCATAAGTTCGTAAGTTGTATTTTTCAGTTTTTTGAATAATTTTGTCAATGACCACAATTTTATTCCTCTGTCACATGCCTTTTCCTTTTTATTTTACTGGAGGCTGACTGGTAACTTCATGTTGTTTTGCATCATCTGCTTCTACGGATACGAAGAGGGGGGTTATCGTTCGTAGATATGTTACGGGAGGGTTTATTTCCCTTCTTCTCTTTGATGATCGTGATCTGTTCAGAACTAATCTACCGTTCTCATGTGCCTGCATGAAGTAAATCATCAATCTGCTGAGTCTGGAATGAGTGCTTTGTGAGATTGAAGCAGTTTTCACCTTGCACCCAATTTGGGACAAATTCCTTACCAACCAATGGAGACCAATTCCTTACCATCTTGACTCCCTTTTCACTTTTACTTTGTTAAATGTGTTAGAGAGAAAGTTGGATTCGACCCTTAAATGTACGATAGAGATTTTAGTGTATAATTGTGAGGCAATACACGTGTTTCCACCATGTGGATCGGCGGATGTGTATGTTACGCATAGATCGTACAGACAAAAGTTTAAGCTTTAACAGGTTACACATCAGGAGAAAGATATGCTAGTAGTATTAAAAATATCATTAAGATGGGTGCAAATTGCGTGGGCATACATGAGCATGGAGTTTTGTACAAAAACCACGCAAATGTAAAATTTTCCACTTTAACTTTACGCACGGTGTCGGTGTCGCGTCTCATCTGCCAGGCTCTCCATCTCACACATGCACATACACATAATGAGACGTACTACAATTATTACGTGAAAAAGTTCCAACCTTCGTGATTTTTTTCAGTTCTACGCAAGCAAATGTACAATGGCAGTAGAATCAATCTGGCAAGTCTACAATATTATAATTCTAATAATTGTAACATTTATTCTGATACTTCCAACATGCAAATTCTGCATTTTGTAAGACTAAGACGAAGAATCTTTTTCGGCATGCTACGCATATTCTCGTTTAAAATTGCCCACTGTTATTCTGAAGAGTTCACCTTAGCCTATTGTTCCCTTGCCCCTTTTAATCCATGGCGCCTTGTTATATTTCACTGGCTTGCCTTGCAGCTTGCACCGGCACTTTGCAGAGACGTTATCTCTGGTTGTTTCGAAGCTGACTTTTCGCAACACTGACTGGAAAGTGTAGCGTCCGTGCTTCATCGCTGTGGCAGTGAATTGATTCATTGTAAAGAATATTTCATTATGGTCTTATTTTTGGAAAACCGTTAAGCTACCATGTACATTGTCTCTCCATTAGTTTGTATAACATCACTGTTGTAGCCTCCGGTGATCTTCACGGCCAACAACTTCCTGCTGTCGGTGGCGAAGGTGCACGAGGCGTCGGAGCCCCGCAGGGATCTGAGCAGCCTCCGCTCCATTGTGACCGGTGGAGCCGCCATGAGCCGACAGGCCGAGGAGTTTGCGGGCTCAATCATGGGGTGGGTGAACACGACAGCTACTCTTCTCAATGCTCCTTCTCACAAACGCCACACCTTACATCGTTATGTGTTCCCTTCCCCAAGGTTTTGTGTTTGCGTTACAAGGGTTCCTCGCAAATTTGTCTGCACCCTCCTCCAGGTCTGTGTCAATCCATCCACCTGCTTGCACACAGTGTCACTAAAAAGCAGCTGTCGCCTTCTCGTAAAGGGCATAAAGGAATATGTTTGTAAACGAAGTGTGCGCGTTGTGCGCAGGGCGCAGGTGTTCAACATGTACGGCATGACGGAGCTGAACGGGGGCATCGGCATGACGAAGCGGTCGCAGTACAAGCCGGGGTCGGTGGGCACGCTGAGCGCGCTGCTGCGCTGCCGCGTGGTGGACGCGGCCACGGGGCGCGTGTGCGGGCCCAACGAGGAGGGCGAGCTGCGGTTCAAGGGCCCCATGCTCGCCCAGGGCTACCTCAAGAACCCGCAGGCCAGCGCAGAGCTGTTCGACGCCACGGGATGGCTGCGCACGGGCGACCTGGGGCACTACGACGAAGACGGGTTCTTCTACATCACAGGACGCATCAAGGACACCATCAAGTACCGTGGCGCGCATGTGAGTAAATCGTCTTTCTTATCCAGGTGATTCTCCTGCGGAAGAAAATGTCCAGCTCACAAACATCCAAAACGAACATAACAAGGTACAACGCCCAGTATATGCCGCAGCGATTAAAAAAGTGCACGTTTTAAAAGCAGCGGGGAAAGCTGCTTACGTAGCTTAGGTGAACATCGAGAGCGCGCAGGCGAGCGGCGTGATGGGCGGCGAAATGACGTTGGTTGCGAGAGTATCTCGCGTGCCAACTGTGGGTAACGAGGGCGAGAGGGAGAGCACCGTGGTAAGCTGCAGTGTGTCGTTGCTTAGGTACCAATGGGACAAAACCAGAATGGCCGACATTGCTAGAGAGTGTGCCGACTCAGCACGTCGGCCTGAAAGATCGCGGGTTCGAGTCCTATCTTGGGCATGGCTTTTTGTCCCTTGTCTCTCATGTATGAGATGTCGTGGAGAACCTCGTTTTCGCTGACCACATATCAGAGGAGTTCGCGAAGTATGTTAATGTTTAGTGAAAAAACGAATATGCATCCTCTTGAGACGCAAAGGGTAACTAGCTGTTGGCTGGAAAAGGCCCTCAGAAGAAGAGAAGAGGTATAAATGAACTTCTGGTGTGCTTGGGCAACGTGGTGGGTAGGGAATGTTGTGGTTGCGAATGTTACTTAGATGAACAACGGTTTGAAACGATGAAATGCGGGAAAGGTCGTACCGAAGGAGACATTGTCTTCGGATCTGTGTAATGTTACCGGTGTGCTCGAACGACCCGAGGGAATTTTCCAGACAAACGTTGGGGGAAAGTGAATAAATATCGTTAGACACGAGTTTCAAGCGTACAAGGCTGTTAGTAGTCCGTTGCGTAGGTACCAGAGGTGGCCAGCGAGCATGCCGGTGAGCGATTGCCTGTGTGCGTTAGGTGTCGCCGGTGGACATCGAGGGCATCCTGGAGGGCCACCCGGCCGTGCAGCAGAGCGCCGTGGTGGGCGTGCCCGACCCGTTAGAGCAGGAGCTGCCCAGGGCGTACGTCGTCCTGCGACCAGGAGCCGAGGTCGCCGAGGAAGAGCTCTGCCAGTTCGTGCAAGGTATTCTACTAACACACGCGCGCGTACGTACTCGCTTAGAACATCCGACGCTCGCTGCTATGTCGCCACAAAAGCGGAATAAAAACGGAAATCCAGGAATATAATTTCATAGTCCTTGTTACTTCAATGCATTTGAAGAACATCAAACATGAACTCGGAAACACACAAGAGACACGATTATAAAATAAGCGGTAATCATTCCATGACAATCTTGTATTTATGCCGTCCAAATGATAATCACTTAGTAATTGTCCAGTTTTTATAAGTGATATATTTATGATATATTTAATAAGGAAATATTCAATTAATAACGAATTTCAATTCGTTTATTATTGTACCGCTACCCACATTTAACCTTTTCTATTACGTTATTCGAGGTTTGTGGCAAATCGAAGATTCATTCTTGACCTAGAAAGCGAAGAAATCTGTTCACAAATCATTTTCATTAACTGACGGCTTTCCTCAAGCCAGAGGCACTGTAGTTCTCGACAATAATTGTTTAAAAAAGTCAGAGGGAAAGTAATCCAGTCACAAATTCGCAATTCGTCAAATCCTAATTCTAATTAAAATATCCAATATATACACTATAAAGCGTGCTTAACTTCTGTGAAGTTCCACTACACATAAAAATGGTGCTTTTTTCGCAATTCCGAAATCAAATCTTCTCTTATCAAAATGTTTTCCTTTGATCTAGCAACTGAAATGTGGAACACTCTAGAACGTTCTTAAACAACCCAACATTTACCAAAAAAACAATTTTGTCAGAGGGACGCAATACGTGGTCACTATCGAATGTTTCCGTTTAGCAGATCGGAAAAATTCACCTTCTTAGCTTTATCCATGTTCTCTGATACGTTTATTTCCTTAAGTATCTCAAAGGCGTACGGCCTCAGGGTAAAAATGTCGTCCTGCTCCTGGATGACAGTTGTTTCTATTGCAGTTGCCAGAGAAGAACTTGCCCCTTAGCATTTCGTGAGATGTTTGCCCTAATGCTTTGTAGCGTCGCAAGGCAGCGTGCGGAGTGAAGTGAAATGGATGTGAATGTGTTTAGAGCGCGTGGCGCCGCACAAGTGGCTGCGAGGGGGCGTGGTGTTCCTCAAGGAGTTGCCCAAGACCACCACTGGCAAGATCAGCCGCGCCGCCATCCGCAAGCAGTTCGTCCTGCAGCAATCGGGTTAAAGCCTCGTAAGTGGCCCTCTTCTTCTTTATTTCTTGGGCATTTTCTCTTCAATACTGATTCATCCTTTCGCTTTCTTCTCTCTCTCTCTCCTCTCTCTCTCTCTCTCTCTCTCTCTCTCTCTCTCTCTCTCTCTCTCTCTCTCTCTCTCTCTCTCTCTATCTATCTATCTATCTATCTATCTATCTATCTATCTATCTATCTATCTTCTGTTCCTATTTTTTCCTCTCTTCTTCCCAGAGTTCGTCTCTGTTGCTGATTTCGTTTCTTCTTTATAAATACCTGTCCTTTCTAACCTCTTGTATTCAAGCTTTTACCGACTTAGCGACCCAAAATATTCGAAAAAAATGTGTCAGTCTGTCACGCATTGTATACGTGATCAATGTCACTATCCTTTTTCGTTAGTGTTCAATATTTCTTGTTCTAATAGATGTTCTCATTACTTTTTCATTTCCATACTCTTAGAGCTTTGGACTTGTTTCTAATTATTATTCTCATTAATAGTTTTAGTGCATCATACGTAACAAATAGGCATTCTTATGAATTTCAATTGTTTTGAATATGCAATCTACCTAGTAAATACTTGAACAATCTCATTTTATTCTCGCCTGTCTCTTTCTCACAGGTTCTGAGCGGAGGGTTGGCGATGACACCGGCAACGGGGAGCCTTGTTCGAATGTGCCTCTTCTGGGAACACGGGTGGCCGGCCGAGCCTTATTTCTCCGGAGCCACCTGTCCTCTTTCTCTGAAGTTTTTTCCTGGCAGCTTCATCATCAACTTCACGAATGGCTTTGGTGCAAGAAATTCGTTTTGTGCACTAATGCAAAACATTACATATCATAACCATTTATAATATCTAGTGAGGACTCGTCAAGATTTGACGATGAGAACGGGTGCTTCAACATTGCTATGACCAGGGCTTGATTTCTGGCAGAACGCCATGAAATGGCTATACGGCACCTCGGAAATAATTGTTAAATTATATTAAAAATCTATAACTATTTCTATTAAATTAATAATTAATTTTAAACACTAAAATTTTATAAATCAAGCACTAGCTATGACCATACTCAGAAGAATGAAAATATGTAAATTACTTTGCATATGCACGAAACACTTTGTAAAATAATAATACATACACATTAATTATATAAATATATACGAAATAATAGAAAATAGTAACAACAATTTTTTTCCTTCTGATCGTCAAAGATGTAGCTAAATATACAATTAACATTCAAAATAAAATTTATACGTAAGAAAATATATTTTAAATACATTTAATGTTGAAACTTATATGGAACAAATGCTCATGTAATAAACAGTATAACCATTTACAACTTTTGTAAGTAAAGTCATTTAGTATACAGGTAGTGCATGTAACTCTGTTAAGAATTGCAATACACAGATATTTTCTAAAATGTTATTTCAACAAACGTGTTCCAATTTCATTTCTTTTCCTGGAATCCTTTTTACAATGTCCAAAGCATCAATACAAAACTTAAAAGAAGTAAATGTATTATGTACATTTTCATTTTGAAGGCAAATATATTTTGAAACACTCTCCTGCAAATATGCGATAAATTTCCCTTTATTCATGTAATTGCTGTAATGACTTCGCACCATTCAATGAAAACCAACGAATTATAATGAAAGTATTACCTACATTAAATACTATATTTATTTTGCGTCTCAATTAAATACTATTAATGAAAAAAAATTAGTCACCAAAGAAAACAAATGCAAACAATAAGATAAAAACAGGATATATAAATATAACGCAATTCGCATGTTTTGGAAATTCACTCTTCTAACCTCTTTTTTAAACCAATTCTGAACTTCTGGTTTCATTAAATGTCAAGAACAAAAAACATTTTAAAGAATAGTAAACAAATGTCGCTATTGTGTAATGGTTTCAAGTGTTAAATAAATATTTTCTTTTAGGCTTGTCCTTGTGGGCAATTTTTCAATACTCTTATATGATAATAGTCAAGAAACTTTCCTACAAAAAGGAATTTGTACGTAAAAAATGGAAATAATTAACCAATTAGTGAAATATTATAACAGATGCGTTTACACAGTATGTTCATTTTTTTCAAAACCATTATCTACATTTAGATGTCTTACTCTTAGCATATGAATTTCAATTATTTTGATATATTACAAGGAAGACAATGATTTTTTATTTGAACAAAAAAATTGATTGTCTAAGTATTGGTATTGTGGTAAGTTTTCGTTGGCATTTACAATGAAATAATTATATGAGTCGTCGTTGCCAACAATATTATTTGTTCAAATGGCAGCTTTCGATGGCTTAGCCAACATCATCAGTTTTCTAGTACAAGAAGAAAAACAAAAATCATAAAAACGTGAATATTTTTTGATTTGACAACAAAATTGTAATTAAAGATTACTAATAATTTACAATTTTTAGAAAATATATTTAACATTTCTCGAACTGAAAGAAAGAAAAGGGTGGGGTGTTAAGTCATTTAATACTACAAGAAAAGTGAATGATATTGTATTAGAACATGTAAAATTTGAAATAGAAAAACTGGAAATGTAAGTTGAGCCATTCCTTACCTGCTGTATGGAGGGCACAAAAACGACTACGCGGGCTCGGGCGAACCAAGAGAATTAAGTACCCGGCCGTGGAGTGGAGGAGAAAAATAGCCTGGGTCCACACACAGATATTCGTATACTGAAAATAAAAAATCAATAACACACCAGATTAACTTTAAAAAACCTGCATATTCAATTAAATAATAATTTATTGAATAAAAACATAAACCATAACCACTGTCCTCTACTAAAATTATTATTAGACACCACCCCCACACCGCACTCCCCGGGGCGGCACTGTCGACAGCGCACCGCACCCAGGCGGAAACGATCGAAGAGATCTTTGCTGATACCAATATTCTTTGAAGAAAAGAAATATTAAATAGAATGATCTCATATTTTTCAAATTTCTTTCGTAATAAAATTAAATGCATGCGCTTATTTTTCGTTTTGGTGCTCTAATTGGCCGTCACCGTGCCTCTTCGAGCGTCGCTTCACCTCGTTCAATTCATCACAAAACGGTCCACCTCCCTTATCTGCGACGACTCCGTCAGCTGCGCTGCGTTCGCTGATGCGAGGTCAGAGTCCAACTAGGCAGATTTCGAGAGCGGGCGAGCGAGGCTGGTCGTGGGCGGTGAGGTGGGGAGGGGAGGGGAGGCCGTGTGGAGCGCTTCGCGCAGTGATTTCGCATTCGGTCCTCGCCGGCCGGCCGCGCACCAGCTCTCTCTCTCGCCTCTCGCCACTCCTCTCCGCTCAGGTGAGGCCCCGCGCAGACGCGACGCACCGCTGTCCGCTTACGCGCGAAGGCATAAGCCTGTTGTACACCAACATTTTTTACCAGGGAGACAAGACGTAATTTGTACGACAAAATGACGCATGCTTCATTTTTTGGTAGATTTCATCCAGTTCGACTACCGCGCACCTGGTGTTACTTTTCAAAACTTTCTCTAGTTTGTTAAGTGTGTGGTGTGGGCAGTTTTGGGAGCGTTCTGATGTGTTGAATTCTAATGTGAAGTGATTATGTAGTGAGAAATAAATTATGTACTGTGATTTAAAGTCGTAGCGTTCTGTGCCCAGTCATCCTATAATCTAACGTAATTTGTTACCATAGATGCGATGTTCAAATATTTGATCACTAGCGCTTTGTGTAGCGTCCGGAGAAAGTTTTCATCGCGATTACGTACACTCCTGAAATTACCGAGTAAAATGCTGGAAACACTTGCATCCATTTCGGCGCCGAAACAACGCGTAAAAACGAATGTCCTTTTTCCATGCACTTTCTGTACAGAAGAAGTATGAAAAAAGGATTAACAATGTCAGTGTAAAATAGGCTTTAGGCGTCTTTCGGCGCCCTCATTCTTATTCAGTGCTTGGTGTTCAGCTTCCTTTTGAAGAGCAATTCGGGAGTGTTAGCGAGTGTGCGAATGCACAGTGAGCCTTCTAGAATCCCAAAGGTCAGGGGGTGACGTAAAAAGAGGGGTACCCCATATCGTTTCCTCTCGAGAGTTTGATGTCCCCTCTTGGAGTAGATTTAATGTCTCCTTTTCAACGGTGTCCTTATTAGGTGCTGAATTTATGATTTCAACCTTCTAAGCGTCAAATGTGGGATTCCAAAGGACAGAAATCGGATAGGAAAGAAAACATTATCCAGAGCATTCTTCGGATTCATTCAATCTGAATTACGTTCGTGAATGTGGTATTCGTTTCACTATCCATTACTCAATTGTTTTCTCCTGAAATTTTGATGTCCCTTCCAGAGAAAACAGCTAAATCGCACTCAGCCACAGGCAACACTATGCATGCACGCCTTCGCTAAAATTCCGGAATTGTTCTTCAAAAGGAAGCAAGTAAATCGAGTCTAAGGTAAAAGATACTTTTCGTTGTGACTTTCTGACATAATTTTCCCTCATTGTTTAGACGTTTCAATTTCGCGTCGTCTCTAATTGTGTGTAACATGTTCCACTTGAAATAGCGATTCAACCGGCGGAGTCGCTTGGGCCGGGCGGCAGAGTGCTTTTCGAGTGAGGCGAGCACAAACCTGTTAGACTGGACCACCGTCGAGCAAATCTTGCGTTAAGCTGGAGCGAAATCGCCTCATTCAGGACAGTAGTGGAGAATGTTTCATTCTATTACAATGTCAGCGGACCACAGGCCGGTCCATGTCCTTCAACGCCAGTCTAAAGTGTTAAGGATTGTAATTGGCAGAAGGATTGAGAGACGGGCAGTAGATCTCTAGCACTACAGAACCCAGCGGAGGATAGACTCCCCGCGAATTACACAAGAGCAATGCCAGGGAAGTGTCCAGAGTAACTGACGGCTGTGTGCAGGGTTGAATTGGTGCCGATTTATAAAATAAGAAAAAATCTATCATTTTTATACATTTACTTAAAATGCTCATTACTAAAGTGTAATTAAAGTATCAAGTTAATAATTTT